TTGAAAACTTGGAAAACTTTTGCAGCAAGGTTTTATTTCAAAGTTCTATCGTTGTACTTTAAGAACATTCTGTAGAGATGTCAACCAGACAGGGGATTTTTAATCGTTTCGCTCTGTTAACTCATTTGTTTTTCTCTATGCCACTTTGCAGGTTTCGGCATGTTGCGGCAGGGATTGTTCCACTCGCTGTTCCTTTTTCCTATGCATATACTTCTTTGAGACATAACTTTAAAGAGGCATAAGGCATGGGAAAATGGGGCTGCAGAGGTATTCCACCCGGCCGAGCTCAACCAGCAGCATTCACTTCTGCAGCCACTTTCATGTAAGCCTTCCAGCCTGACGTGAAGCTGTGGAGGAAAACGGCTAAACAGCAGCAGAAAACAGGCAAATTTAATGCATGTCTGCAATGTGTTGACGCCAATAACTGCTTTTCTTTTATAGGAACAATCTTTTATTATGGCTTTGTTTGCTTTTGATCACTTACGGATGTGGAGTTGATTGTTTTGCATAATCATTCATTCATCTTGTCTTTTGTTTGTCTCTGACATTGTTGCTTTACTATTGACTTAAATAAAGAATCTGTTTCTCTGAAAGTCCTCACTGATATTTTTGTTATCTTATATTTCAGTGTTTATTTTTCAGTATTATTGACGTGAGGTGGTGGTTCACTAGAGAATGTTTTGGGCAACTCTGAAGAGCAATGATACTCAGAAAATGTCCTCAGTATTTGCTGCTTTAAACCAATAAAAAAACAGCAGTTTTAACCCCATTAGAGAGTATTTTCATATTCATTGTTATTTTTAAATAAAAATTTAAGTATTTAGATCCCAATAGAGGCTTAGTGGACAGTCAGATATTGTGGAAAATGGCCTGCTGATGAAATTACAGCAATAATTGGCAGTAAGAAAAAAATTACAATAAATTTGTTCAAATTAATTTGGAAAATAGTTTTAATAGACATGAGTGTTCAAAGTGATTTAAAAGGAGAAAAACACCTTACAAAACATTAACTAACTAAATAAACATAGAAAATAAATAACACATCCAAAAATTATGAGGATTAAAAAGAAAAGAGTTGTGTAATTTTAGTAAACTTAGCTGAAACATGAGCAAAGAAAACTAAAAACTGTGATAAAATCTGAAATAAAGGTAAATTCAACACAAACAGAAGCTGAGGTTGTAATTAAAATAGGCAATAAAAAAATTGGAAATAAAATATAAGCATATGAAATGATTGTTATTGTCAGCTAAAACCAAGACTAATAAGATTCATCTTTTGTGTAAAATAATAATAATAATACTAAACTCATCCAAGCTGCCCTCAGGTCTTCAGTAAGACTCCACTGTGACTAACACTGTGAGGGCCGAGAGGATAGAAGCTCATCTGGTTCAGTGAGTCGACAGAAAGCATTAAAAACAAGAAAGAACAAACTAAAATCCTCCTGAAGCACAGCTGTAAGGTGGGATGGGAATAATATGAAAAGAAAACAAATAAATAATCTGAGTATTAATTAATAGATTTTAATTAAAAAGATAATAAAGTAGGGCATCATGCATCCTCAGTCATCATTTGAAGACAATCATAGAGTGAAACTGAAAAAATCCTTTTTGGGAAACAAAACAAACTTCATTGAAATCTGAAATATAAAGCTACAAATATTGAAGAATGTGGATATTTATAAATGCAAACTATAAGTGAAATAAGTTTAACATATTGAAGTGGTTATGATCTTTTTTATGATTAAATCATGTTATTTGATTTTATTTAGTTAACAACTTGAAGCTAATTATGTATTGTTTATTTTATTTCTATCCAGAGTTTAGTAGTTGGGGGTGGTGCTATCTAATCCTCAGTTCCTCTTCATTTTTAATTGAGTGACTCTCCTATTTATTAGTTTCTTTGAGCAATAATTAACTGTTGACTGGTTAAATCATTGTTAGTTTTAGTGCTGTTAGAGGTTTAAGTTTTCTCCTTTTTTCTTTTTACACATCAGCCCATCTGTTTTAAACTCTGTAAAACATTTAGTGTTACATTTAGATGCTTTATAAATAAAACTTTTACTGGTTGACTTAAATATTGTTGAACATTAAAAAGAAAATTACACAAGTTTCAAAAGACATGTAAGCTCATGTATTTTGTTACATGAGCTATGAGCTATACATGTAATATATTTTGAATGTCTGATCTCCTGTCAAAAAATAAAGAAAGAATCAAGAAATGTCAGAAGGTTGGTGCTGGTGGACACGTAATCAGATGTAATCTGATTACTTACATGATCAGAAGCAGCTCTTTGCTTTTCTAAAGCTGAGAAAACAGGGACAGAAGTTTGGCAGAGTGACTGCACCGTCTCTTATTTAGCTCAGGTCAGAGGATGAGAGGCAATATGCACCTCCGGCAGACTGGAGGGCGCCATCCCTCTGTGGCTTCCAGGGAAGTGCGAAGTCTTCAGTGGTCACACAATACAAACTCAATATATCTCAATGATCTCGCTGTTATTTTCGCCTTTGATCCCACATTCACGATGCAAATTGACACGCAGTGGAAGGAGAGCAGAGCCACCAGCTGGAGAAATTCTCCTGCAGCATTGGGAGGCTTTCAGGTCTGTCGCGTTGCAATTTCACCCTGAATTATGTTCATTTCATATATTATTTGTGACTGGGCGGGTTGGGTGCGGGACAGGCGGGAGATGCGGGAGCACGACGCGGTTCTCCGGGAGCTGTCCGCCCAGCAGGGTGCTGAAACGGGAACAAAGATCATCCCGACGAGCTTCTGAATGTGGAAACGTGTTAAAAGATTTAAAGTCTTAAAGTCAAACTTTGTGAGATAAAAATGTTTAAGAAAAGTTAACTTACAACCATGCTCCGTGCTTCCTGCTGGTGTTTCTGCAGAGTTGAGTCTGGTTCTCGTACTGTTCCCTCATCTCCCTCTCCACCAGGCCAACCAGAGGCGAAGCCACCGTTGTCAGAGAAAGCAGAACTAATTAATTTACTCCAAATCAATCCGCACACAAAAGCTCTGATTGATCCCGCCACTGGACACAACGTTTATCAGCTAACTGACTGTCAGCCCGAGGCCAGGGAGCACTGACTTATCCAGCAGCGTCCTGTGTGCAGTTATCTCGGAATATTCTGGAAAGCGCAGAAATCCACCTTGACGCTCTGAAGCCTTTGTCTGAATGTGAGCGGCAGCGCCACGCTTCTGTGTTTACATATGCAAAGAGGCCCGAGCAGAGCGATGGAAACTGGCTGGAGGTTTTCTCACCTTCTCGACGCCAGTGAGTCTGAGTCTCAGTTGGATGGTATCTCAGACTGAATACTGTCTGCATGAATGGACTGAAAGCTACCTGTCGGTCAGTTAGCTTTACAATCCTTCAAATTCGCAAGAAACCCCGTTTTTTTTTTCTCCCGCAAAACCGGCTTTTGTGTTATCAGCCGGTTGGACTGAGCTGCCAAATGAAAGCGCCCAGCCGTGTGCCCGTCAGCTAACCTGGAGGTGAAACCTTTGTTATGTTGGGATGAGGAGGGTCAGAAAACAATGATGGAAAGTGAGAAGGTTCCTTCTGATCTTTGTTTACCTCTAAGAACAAGAGGTTTGCCTCAGGGGAGCTAGTCCCCATCACTCCGCCCAGGTACACTGCTGTGCAAGAGTATACACACCCTTTGCACTTTTGCACGTTTTGGTCACTTTACAAACTTACTGAGATACGTTTATTGGGAGGTTTTATGTAACAGACCAACACAGAGGTGGAAGGAAAGGAAACTTTATAAAAGTTCAGTTTATGATTTAGATTGGTTAAAATTCACATTGGTCACAAAATCAATCAAATTCAGCTGAGAGCTTATATGTGCACGTAAATTCTGAAGTTTTGTCCCTGATTCTCAATCGACTGTAAGCCTGTACTTTGACTGGACCATTGTAACACATGAATGTGTTTTGATCTGAGCCATGACTAAGTTCAGGTCAACCAGAAACTTGGGTCATTTTCAGCCCATATCAGGTTTTCTCCTGAGTTTTCCTGTCGGTTTTGGTGATTGGCCGCGTCTCGTTAAACCTGTTTTGTGTCATATTCTTTTTGTTATCAGCTGACGGATCAAACGGTGACACCCGTAAGATTTCCAAAGCAGTTTTATAACCTAACCAAGCTTCAAGCTTGATCCCTGACCTCTTTTGTTTGCTCAGAAATGTTTTCTAATAAACCTCTGACGCCTTCAAAGAACATCTACTTTTTATTGGACTATTCAATAAAACCCCCCAGAAAAAGTAATAAAGTTAGTGGCTGTAAGATGAAAAATGTGAAAACAGGAAGTAACTGTTTGGCACAGCCAGGAAACTTATAATAAAACCTGTCACTTAAATTATCTAATCAGGTAAACTAAATGTTTGACCCCATGACTGATAATTTCTTACTGCTTTGTGTTGTCAAGTTTGTTTTTCTGTCCGAGAATCTCAGCAGCTAATCAGCTGTTTTATTGGAGGTTGCAGCCTTTGTATAGATCTCCTCAGGTCATATCCTCTGGTCAAACAAAATGCCAGACTCTCTGGAGCCAGGTCTGGGGACTCCTGTGGTAAATGTAAACTCATCAATGAGCAGCTTAATTAGGCCTAATTGTCAAGCATGATCTCCCAGTTAGCTGCTCTTTGAAGTGCAGGAATGGGGACAAACAGGCCTGGTGTTTGTCCCCATTCTCACTTTTTGTTGACACCTAATTGATGTTTGATCCTGTTTACATTGAGTAATCCACTCTGGTTTCATTTATTGTTGACATTTTGGAACTGGGACTGAATCAAGAAATCCATACAGTGAGAACCTTTAGTCATCTTTATCAGCGGTTTCTTCACCTTCCCTTTAAGATGAAAAACAGGATGTTCCATCCATGTGAAGCTGATCCCGCAATAAAGATTATATCATCAACTTTATCTCTCAGATGAAGCTGCAGTGATAAAAAGCAAAAGTAAACACCATAATCATTGCTTCAATAAAAAGGAACTTTTTTAATTATTATAAATAGATATATTCGTAATTATACAAAATCTGTACAAAATTCTCACAAATCGGATTACACATTTTGGGATCATAAGTGTCTGTGTCGAAATGAAGAGTCTCTTATGGGAGTTTGCTCAGTAGAAATGTGGATGCCGCATCATGAGCTGAGGCGCGGGGTGAGGAGTCAGCGGCTGCGTCAGGACCAGCTGCGGGACGGGCAGCGGGTAAAGGCCGCGGCCGGACGAGGTGTAGTGGGCCTGGTGCGCGGCCACGGGGTGGTACTGAACCGGGTGCAGAGGGCGGAAGGACACCGACGGGATCTGGGGGGCGAGGTAGTCCTGGACTTCCCGTTTCAGCTTCATCCGCCTGTTCTGGAACCAAGTCCTGACCTGCAGGAGAAGCAAAGGTTTGAATTTATCATCCAGGGCGCTTTACTGGGGAAACTAATCCACCTTCCTCATTAATTATCTTATTATTTGCATTTTACCAGGCACATGCAGAGGGGGGGGATTTGGGGGCTTGAGCACCTCCCCCTTTTGCTCTTTGCCCCCAAGTGACCTTTTGGTCAATTTATTTATTTATTTTTTTGGCATTATTATTTCCTAAGCCCTCTTCTGACACATAATAACATGCACTAAAATTATTTGGTTTTTTGTACAACATACGCCGGTCACCTTGTTACCTTTG